GATGCCGAGTGGTAATCAGCCCGCCGTTGGGGCGTTTTGGAGATATTCGGGGTCAAAGGTCAAATGGGTTCATTTGCACGGAAAGTGAATGCGCGGTCATCCCTGTATCATGAATATAAGCTGAAAATGATAGAAAGTAATCACACTTTTAATAAAAATGTAAACTTCCTAAATTCACTTTTGTTCTTTGTGACCCCAGAGGTCAAAAGGTCACATTTTCCGATTTAGCACCAGGAAGATTTAAAGTAACAAATGTCAGCGTAAAATATAAAAACTAAAGCGAAACCTGTTCTAATTAATAATAGGAACATTTAAAATTTATTTTTAGGTGGTCTTAGCACCGAACTTTTACTTTGGAACGTCGAAAATGATCTTGCATAACAGAACCAAAACGCATCGGAGCCTGTTTCAAAAATACACAAAAACTGTTTAATTAAAATCTCTCCGAATTAGTTTTACAACGAATGCTATACAGAATGATACTAGTTGTCTGAAAAAAAAACAATTGAACAGTTCCATGGCTGGACTCCAGCCTGCAGGCCGCGTCACAAATCCTGCCCAAATTTTCCCCGCTAACATTTACCAATACATCCTGTGAACTACTATGTACAATGCATTCGTCGGTTTTATCTGCGTCCATGTTCCGGCGAAATTCATAAAAACACATAAAACATTTGCAAACTTTTAAATTCGTCGTCATTCGTCGTCAGATAAGTGTTTTCCCGTCACAGATTAACGTCGGTTTTCCTAGACTGGGATTCTCGGAAATCCAACCGACCTGCAGCCTGGAGTTTAACACTGAAACTATTCAATTGTTTTTCAGATAACTAGTATTACTATGTATAACAATCGTTGTGAAAATAAATCGGAGAGATTTCGATTTGACAGTTTTTACGTATTTTTGAAACAGGTTTCAAAGTGTGTTGGTTCTGTTATGCAAGATCATTTTCGACGTTCCAAAGTAAAAGTTCGGTGCTAAGACCACCTAAAGATCAATTTTAAATGTTCCTATTATTAATTAGAACATGATTCGCTTTAGTTTTTATATTTTACGTTGACATTTTATTGCTTTAAATCTTCCTAGTGCAAAAACGGTAAACTTCACCTTTTGACCTCCAGGGTCACTAAGACCAAAGGTGAATTTAGCAAGTTTACATTTTTATTGAAAGTGTGATTACTTTCGATCATTTTCAGCTTCCTTTCATAATACAAGAATGACTGCGCATTCACTTTCAGTGCAAATGAAATCATTTGACCTTTGACCACGAATATCTCGAAAACGCCCCAACGGCGGACTGATTACCACTCTAGAAAAGTTTGGTCTGGTTTTGTGCCCATTTGATGGACCCCCCCCCCCCCGCGCTGAGCCTCCGGTCTATTTAGAATGTATGTTTAAGCAAATGATATATGTTTTCATCTGGGAGCGGATTATGGACATAGCTTATGGATATCAGTTTGAATTCAACGTGCGAGCTGAAATGAACATAGCTTATTATAGATATGACATAAGTTTGAACGTGCGAATTGAAAATGAACATAGCCTATGGATATCATAGAAGTTCTGATATAGAAGCCCGGTCTGAACATACATGTAGCTTCAGGTTGGAGCTGAGTATGGAAATAGCTTTTATGGACACGACAGTGGCCACGTGTTAATAAATATATTATATTGTAGGCGGAGTCGCTGTGATTATTAATATTTTAGAAACGTTAATAAAAAACACGTGTGGCTATGACGTATAATTTAAACGAAAAACACTGTACATTAAATTAAGATAAAACAAATACCTCCAAAGAGTTGAATTTAAGTAGGAACCGGTGTCGTACACTGTGCTGGACTCTTCATATAATCTCTGGATCATTAAGGAAGCTCAATAATAGCCATGGTACATTTTTATAATATAATATAGAAGACTTCAGTAAAAAAACAGATTGACAGTCCGCAATTCAAATCAAGATCCGAGCTAAGTCCGGTTATAAACATATCGAGGGGCAGTGGAGTACGCAGTGACATAGTGAATAAGACGTCGGCTTGCTAACCAGGTCTTAGTCGGGTCAAAATACAGTTTATCCCCCAAAAAATTGCTACAAAAGGTTTCTCAACTGATTCTGGTAGGGTTTAGTGTACTGTATAACATACTAAAAGTTTACCAAGGTAGGACGCACCAGAAAAGTGTTTTTTTTTCAAGATGGCGTCAAAGATGGCCACCGAAACGTCTTAATGATCATAAATATGAAACTATCAACTCAGATTTTGGGGACAAGGAACACATTAAGAGAACTTTGGATATTACTGAACTGTTGAATCATTATGAAATTGAATGCATAACCTTCAGCTGGCCACTATGATAGAATAAGTTTCAGAGCGTTCAGTTTTGAGTGTCATCCTCCTCCTCAGTATCGACCTCTTCAGTGTTGTTTGAATTGTCAGGGATTTGCTGATCTTGCTCCTTCATTACTCCTGAACAGACAAGGAGATCATCTAGTCCTGTTCTGGCGTAAACAAGCAGTCAAAAGAACACAAAGTGTATAATATTAACCTGTTGAAAGAAACTTTAGGAGACGATGTGTGCAACGAGTTGCTCTTTGTACATGTCTACTCAGGTTGTGATTCAACTTCACTGATTTTAATCACCGGAAAAAAATTCACCTTCCGGAAATTAGTGAAATCTGATCCTGTCATGAAGTCCTGTGCTACTGCATTCACCATTCAAAACATATCTCAAGAGGACATATCAGATCTTGGCAATGTTCTGATGGTTGGTCCCTTTGTTGGCAAGTCGAATGATACGCCATCATCACTGTGTCATATCATTTTCACCAAGAATAGTGGGCATAGTGGTTTTCAAGAGGTTTCGCGGAATGTAGTTAAAAATACGTTTCACATAATTATGATCAGAATATTATAATAACTTTCCACCCATTTGTTGTTGGTGGTTTACTACATGTTTCTGTTAACTTAATGAACTTTCAGTGGCCAATTTGGAGTCCCTGGTGAGGGTCGGACATGTATTGAATAGTATCGCTGTTTATAAAGGACTAAAGAATCCTGGTCGATATGTCAATTATTAATAAACAGTGGCTGTATTAAGCAGAATTGTGTCCATTAGACATTCAGACTTCCAAACTATACGTAACGGCGCTAATTAAAACCTCCAGGTGGTAAATTGAGGTAAAACTGTTCTAAAACCGACACGCTGGTAACACTACAGTACTATCTCCTTCAATCCATGCGTTCTTAGTTCCCTCTCTACAAGATCATATACATGGCAGCAGATAATTAGAAAATAAGAACGCGTATGTTTTAAGAGCAATTAGTCTGTATAGCATTACTTTTTGTTTGTTTGTATGCTGTCTTCATTTCGCTTGCTATTCTTTCATACAGAGACATAGAGATGTTCCAAAACACGTAAACAATCGCAACATCATTCTACTACAATTGACTATACCGGTAATCAATTCGCCCTTTAGATTAGACTCAGCTTTTAGAAGTACTTGGGCCCAAGAACCTGTGAGTGTGAAGTCATTGCACCCACCCTGGAGAGAGAGAGAAAGAGAGAGAGAGAGATTAGAAAGCAGACACCCCCTGTCACGTACAAGCCTGGTACAAAAACTATAATACGTGACCCAATGAGAGACATTAGAGACTTTTGGTAAGCGTAAATTCCTGGTCCGTATCGCGTATTCGTATCGATTTTGCATTTGACGCCATCAATGTGTGTGTATTTGTCATATGTGATACGGCACACGGATGCGGCAGCACGTATCGAACAGCTTTCATACGGAAAAGTTCCGTATAACATCGTCGTCTTTTTACCGTCTATTTTGCTACTTTTAGACGCTGAAATGTTGTACCATAGCGTATTTATGAGGTGTATATTTGATGTGAATTTAATCATTATTTTTGATGAGTTCTTCTCGGGATTTTCATATTTTTTCTTTTTGTCTGCTTACTCTTTGATCTACGTGCTAAATTAAGGGCAGTGGGACCTTGCAAATCTGTAAATGATGTGATTCTATGGTAAAAAAGTATAAACTTTCTAAAATAATACATTAGTGAAACCAAAAATTGTTGTCAAGTGGAAGATTTTTAATAAGATTCGACATTAAATTTTATTTAATAGCTCAGCGACTGTTGGGCGAATTTACTCTACCCAGGAATTTGTAGGCTAGGCACCCGACTAGTACTGATCGTAATTTCTTAACAAAAGAAGATACGACCAATGATTGTGTTTATGAAGGGAAATTATACATTTTTTTAGAACTGATATGTAATATAACAACTCTGTAAACGGACACACGCTATGCAGTGTGCTATGGGGAAAATATTGCAGACATTATTTCATATTCCAACTGTCAAGGGATCTTTTACATCCTATCCGAACGACTAGATGCTGTTCCTTAGCCCCTGCGTCCACACAACTGACAGACCTAAGCTGTGCCGGAAAATCCTGAGTTACTTTCTCGGCTAATACCGGGATCGAAACCGGAACCCCAAGTTAGTGAGCCAACTATTTTACGCTTGAATCGTATAAAATATGACCAAGAATACCTACAAATGGCCTGCAAAAGAAAACAACTTATTCACGTAGATCGTGACCGGATTGGAAATACCACTCGTCGTTTTAATAATGTCGCGAACAACTTTTCTACTAATTTCTGCTTTGTGAACAGCTGGTAATACTATACCATTTGGATATTGATTATTTCGGTATGTCTTCTTTCACGAACTACCCTTAAGATGTTCCTGTTTTGATTAGCCTTTCTGGTGGTGCCATTTTGTCCAATATCCAATTTGGGGGGATTTGCTGAACATACCCAGTTGTTCTAATACAATATTTGATTAATTTGCTGTTGTGTAAATTTGGTCAAATTGTCGGGTAATCATTGCAAACGTAATTAAATGGGGTTTAACGTCCTATTGCCATTGCAAAAGCAAAGTAGAACAAATAATTTATTCATGTACATTATTGATTGATTTCTTGTTCTTTATATTTCAGGAAAATGTGACCCTTGATTGCATCACTGGATCAGATCTAGTAAACTTGGTTGAATCCTGGGTGAATGACAACCCGCTTTCTTCCTACAACGGAAGTAACTGTTCCTATGATGACGTCATTACATTTCTTGAGGAGGAAGCAAGCAAACCTGCTATGCTGATTTATGGCAGACTTTTTTACGCATATTTTATGCCGGTTGTGTTCGTTGTTGGAGTTATAGGAAATGTCCTCTCTATCAACGTATTTCTGTCTAGGAACATGCGCGGTTTATCCGGAAGTAAATACATTTTAGCCTTATCAGCTTCTGACATTGCTGCCTTAGTGTTTTACGTATTGGTGGAATGGCTAAAACGAGGCCTGCCTTTTATAACACACAACCGAGTCATGTTTATGGACATTACTGGAATTTGTCATGGAATATTTTACTTCCAGTATGCGTCCAGATTTTTCTCGGCGTGGTTAGTCGTGGCATTCACCCTCGAGAGATTTATAGGTGTTTGTCATCCATTACGGCGGAGGGATATATGTACGGAAGCAAGCACGAGACGGATTATTTGTGGTCTTATAGTGACATCATTAGTAATCAGCATATACAAACCAGCCTTGAGTGTAGTGCAAGATGTCACAAGGTATGGTCGAGTATGTACAACAGATCCACGTCATCAATATGTGACTTTTGTTCTAGATTCCATTTATGCTGTTTTTATAGCTTTAGTGCCGTTTGTTTTTATCACAGTGCTTAATTTAATGATCGTGCGCAAATTAGTAATGCATAATAAAAGAAATAGGTTGCGCAATGTTGTGACTGCAGAAAGCGTCATTCGTTTAGAATTTACGTTAATATTATTAGCCATATCAATATGTTTTGTGATTTTTAACGTTCCGTATTTCGTCGTGTGGTGTAAATTGTTTTTAACATCCAAGTTCGTACAGTTGGATGAGTTCGAAGACATCAGGAAAATGGAGTTTTTCCAGGGAATATTTTGGATAACTCGCGCCATATTTTGTTTTAATTATTGTATCAATTTTTTTCTGTACAGCATCACTGGTGCCTATTTTCGTCAAGAATTAAAAATGTTATTTATGTACAACCGGAAGACGAGTCAATTAAATCAGCCATATTGTAGATGTCGCTTTACTTCAAATCGTTCTACTGTACCGTCCGTTATAACCTAATAAAAGATAGTCATCTTTCGTAATAGATACTCATGGCAGTCACATTTTACAGCTGTCCTGGCATGACATCTTCATGTTTTTGTAGCTGGCTTTATGTTATGTAATCTTCACTGCTGGCCCGATAAATGTAGCGGCTGTTTTGTGTCACGTATGGCGATATAAATATAGCAACCATGATGTTTTACTGATAACCTTTGTAGCCATATTGTTTCGGTTAACGTGACAAAATGACATCCACGTTGTTTTACTTGATAAAAGCAGCGGTCATCTTGCTGCACATGACTTTACGAACATGGCAGCCATGTTGTTTTACTGACCTGACGAGTATGGTATACAGTGATTTAATCTGGTAACTCCAAAATATGGCAGCAACACTTGGCTTGCTGTAATCAACCAATGTTTCCTTCGGTCGTGTCTAAGACCAGCTTTGTTTGATTTCCGGATTCCCAATGCACTCTATTCATTTCCTACAGACTTTTTTTTATCAGAATACAGGTCGATGTTGTGGCGTTAGTTCGGTCCTCAGATTTAAAATGGTGGTAATCGACAACAAAACCCTGTCTTTCGTTAAACGGATTCAGAAAATCGCTTGATTGAGACCTAAATCTGGAAAGAGAATCTTGATTAAGATTGATGAAATCGATCTCGCCATTAGTCGCATGGGAGCCATATTTTCACCAGAGATAATACTACACGCCTTTTTGTTGATTAAAATAAATGAATGAGTATGTTGTTCACCGTTTTGTTACTGATTTTCTGTAAAACTATACATGGTATACTAACTGTTTTATTAAAATTATATATTTTTTTCTTTCGTCTTAATGGTTCTACGCCACACATATTCAGTACCGTCTCACACATATTCAGTACCGTTGCTATTAAGACGCCTGACACCAGCTGTAACATTCACAAAACTACAGGCCAGTGGGGAATGTCTTGACGTGTTTGGAAGAGCATTCACTGATTAATCACAGTACACAAATAAGAATATGAAATAAATATAAGACTAGTCAATTGTAACGTAAAATAAATTTTTTAAATACATCTGATTTTGCTCAGATTCAGGTTTTTTTATGCTGACTGTCTACTTTCTCGTCATTTCAAGAGACATAAAAAGTTAGAGTTCAATCGGGAGTGAGATTTAAATTAGATAAACGCATTTTTTTTTATTTTAAAAAAAGTAAAATGAACCAATCTAGCTCAAGTTGACACTGCAAACCAAAGCACACCGCTGATAACAGTGTACATTCTGTGAGCGAAAATCTTTCAACGTCTTTTCAGTTTGAACTCCGTTCATTTCAAAATATCTTAGTCATTGTCATTAACTAAAATTCTTGTCTTCATTGGCGTATTTCTCTCCATGGGTGGCTCACTGGGTGTGTCATTGGTTCGCTGACCTGGGGAACCCGTGTTCGATTTTCCGGCGTGGTTCCTTGTTGCATGACCGAGAGCCTGGCCAGAGTTATTCGGATAGTACGAAAAACCTGGTTCCTGTGTACACGTTGGTGTGCACGTTAAAGATCCCTCATAACGCACTGTATGGCGTATGCCCGTCTTCATTGGTACAGTCGAATGTCAAACCCCATTTTATTTCATTTCCCAACCATACCAATGTCTGGGTTTTGTAATAACGTGGCATATATTTTATAAAACAGACACAAATAATTCAATTTGTCAATATTTAGGAGATAAACACTTTCTGTTTCGTATTTAGAGGGGGTTTATTGCCCATTTAACCATGCTTGACTTATTCGACAGCTTCGAGTTGTTTAAATGGATAGTTCAAGCATGGTTAAATGGACAATAAACACCCGATAAATACGAAACAGGAACGTGTGTATCGATATTGTAGCACAAATATTTGGAGATTTTCTTCGGAACTATTTAGGAAACATTTTTACGCTAATTTAAAAAAAAAGTCGTTATTTAGCCACGTGCTTGCGTTCATTTTTCAAAATATTCTCAATAGATTTAGACCGTCCTTCCTGCAATTTTAAAATGCTTGAGTTTCGAGTTGCTGGTAAATGAATTATGAAAAAAATGTTATTCGGATATCGACATTTGAAGATTTTTTTAAAGAACGGGAAATTAGTCCTATTGCGGTATTTTGAGACGACGGTGTCAGCCGTGATCAAAATAATTCCAGGCTGCTATTCGATACTAAAGAGGAGATACTCTTGGCGACAAAGATGACTTCGCTTCGTTAGTTTCATGTAAGTTTTCAGCTTTTATTATTTTATTTTCAGGCTGTTATCACAATTTTGTAGCTAGTTCTTGTTCACACAATTGCAGTTCGTACTTACATTCTCAAAAATACCTTATAAAACTATGAGAGTGATGTCTAGCCTAGGATTCAATTTGGGCACAATGATTAGGCCTAAATTTCAGCTGCTGTTTTCGACTCCCTCATTTTATTTTCAAGCGATCTCTTGGGACTAATGACTTATTAATAGGCAGATCATGCTTGTAAGACTTGGATCAAAGCGGGATTTAAAAAAATTACATCTGATTAAAGATACATTATGGAAGATTAGATAAAGAGCTGGCAGTTCTCGCTATAATAGTTAAAAACTGGGTAATTTAAAGGGAATATGCTGACAATTTCAGTCCAATTGCTTCAATTGCGTTTGAATTTTAGGCCTACCCTCGATCATCGTTAATAAAGTAAGTACGATAAAAACATAGTCTCGATTATCCATTTTTGGATTAAATCATCAATGAGCGTTGAGCAGCAAATCCTGAGAAAATCCGTCTTTTTCTATTAATAAATGTCTAATTAACAGTTTATATTATTATAACATTTCAGGCCCAAAGAAAGACCTGCCATAGGCAGATTTAGCTATTGCATAATGTATGTTTAAGTAAACATTGGTGAGTGAAACTGGCTTATACCAAAACGAAAACAAAATTGTCCATACTGTCACTGCCTAGTTACGAATATATTTGGATACCTGAAAACGGGTTTAATTAATATATGACTGAGTTTCTACTGTTTTATGTATTTCAGGAATATGTTTTCATAAAAAATGATGTGATAGCCATGTGTGCAGAATTTCCTGAAGATATTTGTCAATAAAGATTTGAGTTGAGGTAGATCATCGAGAAAAAAGTGCACTGAAATATTTATACGCAATAATTCGCCTTGATAATTTAGAGTGGGTATATTGTCTATTCGACCAGAATTTTCCATTAATCCGAATCAAGGAAATTTGTAATTTGTGCTATAATCTCCCTTAAAGAACATCTTATTTCATGTCAAATAACCAATCGTTTCCTGTAACCAGATGTTTTACTACTTCCTGTAACTTGTTTATTGGCGTTGCGATTGGTTAAACCTTGCACATCACTTCTCGTTCCGTGTGGTGTTTCCTTTGCAACATCAGTTTTCGCAAGCCAGGAATGAAAATGGTGTTGTTTGTAATGATAATACTATTGTAAGGAAATTTGGTTCACGATGACAAACACTAGCTAGAGTGACGTCACAATTTCATATGTGTGATATAGCCAACCCTATTTGATTTAGATCTCACTATAAGGATTGAACTTGGCTGATCCGAAGTCTTTTTTGATTACTGATGGGTGAAAGTCAATACCGTTATATCTTCTGTACATAAATTTGCCCCGGTCTCGAGTACCTGCAACAATAAATGTAGCCGTATTCCCACCTCACAAAGGTTATCAATAAAATCAACACTTTTATTCGTAAATACTGTGGATACGAAGAAATCTTTATTCGCAAACACTTTGCTTACGAATAACGTTGTCCTTTTATTTACCCTAGTCATTTTAAGACTATACCGTTTGCGCCTAGCTAGTCCAGTCTACCTTTTTGTCTTTTGTAGATCGTCGCCTTCATTTCGTCGACTTGTCGGGTCAATTCTGTCGACTTGTCGACTTCGACTTATTCACAACCCGACAAGTCGACAAAATACAATTGTTTCGACTTGTCGTGCGACGACTTGTCATCTCGGAAGTGAAGCTCGAGCTTGCGCATTTGCTGATTGGATAACTTGCATGCGTACAGATTAACTTCCGAGGCGACAAGTCGTCGCACGACAAGTCGAAATAATTGTATTTTGTCGACTTGTCGGGTTGTGAATAAGTTGACGCGACAAGTCGACAGAATTGACCCGACAAGTCGACGAAATGAAGGCGACGATCGTCGGGTTATTTTGTCGTGTTGGCGGGTTGATTTCGTCGACTTGTCGCCTTCTTCATAAGGCGACGATTTAGATGACATTTGAATGGCCGCTAACAGCCACCATACACAACAGTACAACAGCATTGAGAAATGCAATCAGGTGTCATAAAAGGATATTCTCTGGCTTTTCTTCTTACGACACGGAGGGAACTTCTCAAGTGTAAGTATGAAGTACATGTTAATGTAGGCCCCTTTATTGTTGATAAGTAAATAGATAAAATTAGTCTTGACTGACCCATGCTGACTAATTTTATCTTACTTTGTTGTCCTTTCAAACAACATTAGTACTAATTTACATGTCTCGAAACATAAAACTATGGAGCAGGAATCTTCAAATGGGATGAACAAAACAACAATTCAACCCATGTACATGTTTATGAAAAATACTTGAAAGCATGATATCTCTACCTTCTGTCTCCCAGAACATGTAAATCCTCATGTACCAAATTCGTCCAAAGAATAAACTATCACGTGTTATAAAATCAACTTGATTAATATTATTTGGTGTAAGAATGTTCAGAAAGGATTGTTCAATTTAAACCATGATCATTTTGTATTATCCTTTGACATATTAACGCGCGTAGAAGACGCACCTGGTGTGGTATACTCTATAAATCCACCATAGTATTATTATCATGAAAATGATAGAAGAAATTAAACCTCTTTCAATTCAATTCCATTCCATTACTAAAAGGTCTTTTATTAATAATATCACGGGCTTCGTTATTTACAAGAGAGTATAGTAAAACATAATATTTGCTAACTCACAAGCTGATAATTCCATGGTCCTCTATATCCACTATGGTTAAACTTATAAACTTACACCGTAAATAATTAAACAATATTTCGTATGACATTTACAGTGTACTTTTATGCTTATATTTCTCTGGTTAGACGATTCTATCATGAGTTATTTAGTTACTTAGTTTAAGTATGGCGATATTGGTATACTAGGATACTATTTTGTTTTGTTTGTTCATTGTTGGTAAAGCTTATTAGATAGCTAGGCCCACACAGCAGTTGTGTCTCGAAAATCGAAAATAAAAATATAGTAATAAACACTCCAGTGTTGACCAGCTTGTATCCTTATTGGCTTTAAAAAATCAGATCTCTATCGTGTTCACACGCTTTTCGGGTCATGTGATGTATCTCTGGAACAGAAAGTCATCCACCCTGATCCCAACACTTCACACCAAAATTAAAGATCAATTGGGTTCATCCTCCGGCTAATGCTTCACACCAAATATGAAAAATTAAAGCTTTTAAAATCTATATCCTCTATCGCGTTCACAAGGTTTTTGGAAAAGGGTTCATCCTCTCATAGTCCTAATGCTTACATCAGATTTGAAAATAACCCATTAAATAGAGTAGCTTATATTACATTCAGGATGTTTTCGGGAAGGGGGGCACAACTACGGAACGGAAAGTCGCAGGACGCAGATTAAAGTTAGGGTTCGATAAAAAAAATTAGTTAAAAACTATAGCCTCTATCGCGTTCACTAGCCAATTGTTGACAAACTGATCAACGGACCGACAAACATGGTGACGACAAACTGAAATGCTGCCTACATCACATCGTTAATCACAAGCTTTCTACCTAATCAATCAAACAATTGTTGCATAAACTTAACAAAATTTATTTCTGTAGATTGTCCCCA